CTTCCATGTAACAAATAGTAGGAGGGCTCAGCACCTCCCCATTTCCGTGTTCATCTGTCAATGAGCAGGAGGAAAAGCATAACTTGGAGAAATGCTTGGGCTGTTGTCCCAAGTTCATCCGTAGATACGGGCACACACAAATGTACCTCTATCAGTTTTGCTCTTAGTTTTGTTGTATTGAGAGGGTGAAGAATTGAGTCAGACAGAGAAGTCTTTTAATTAAAAACAATCTCTGGGTCACCTGGGTGGCTTAGTCCTTTAAGTGTCTGCCTTTGGTTGGGGTCATGATCTCAGAGTCCTGGGACTGAGTCCCACATTGGGCTCCTTGCTCAGCAGGGAGTCTGCTTCTCCCTCTGCCTGCTGCTCCCCCTGCTTGTGCTCTCTCTCTCTGTCAGATAAATAAATAAAATCTAAAAAAAAAATTATCTCTGATTCTCAGAATGATGTTTTTATCCGGTTCTTTTCTCTGTTGTTTCTTACTAGCTAGATGTCTGTCTGTTTTCTTAGTTTTTAAAACAATGAATTCTTGGATTAATTAATTTTATTTTGCTTTCTAATTCATTAATTTATTTTTTAATCTTTGTAATTTTCCCTCCTGCCTTCTTAGCTTTTAATTTTTTTTTTCCTTTTTATATCTTGGGTTGACTTTTTCACTTATTTCCATTCTTTCTTGCTGAGTTATAAAACCATTTAAAACTATGGATTTTCCGGGGCACCTGGGTGGTGTACTTGGTTAAGCGGACTCTTAGGTTTGGCTCAGGTCCTGATCTCAGTGTCGAACCCGGTGACCGGCTCTGTGTTCAGTGCAGAATCTGCTTGAGATTCTCTCTCTGCCCCTCATGCTTATGCTCCCTCTATCTCTAAATTTATAAATCTTTAAAGAGAACCTATGAATTTTCCTTTCCACATAAATTTGACGACATCCAACAAATTTTAATAAACAGTGTTGTCATTGTTGGTCTTTTCTGCAAAATAATCACCATTTTGATTTCTATTTAATAGTGGTTTGGTAAGATAGGTCTTGGTTTCCAGGTGCATTTTGTTTTTCCTTAAAAATATGTCAGATTTCAGGGCTCCTGGGTGGCTCAGTCGGTTAAGCAGCTGCCTGCGGCTCAGGTCATGATCCCAGGATCCTGGGATCGAGCTCCGTATTGGGCTCCCTGCTCAGTGGAGAACCTGCTTCCTCCTCTCTCTCTGCCTGCCGCTATGCCAACTTGTGCTCTCTTTCTCTCTCTCTGTCAAGTAAAATCTTTTTAAAAAATGACAGATTTCTCAGACTGTTTGCTTTTGCATTGGGGTCATATAACCTGTACTGGCTCCACTTTGGAGAATATACTGAGGGTTGCTTTGTCGGAAATAATCAGAAGATATCCCATAAACACGTATTTTTCTCTGATGTGTACAAAGCTTTTGACTTACTTATTTTAATTTCAGCTTTTTGGAAGGATAATCGACGAACAATTCTAAGATTTGTGAAGTATCCCTCATGCTGATGTAATGTGTACATTGTGAAAGGATTTCCTCCCAGTCACTTAACACATCCCTCACTTCACTTAGTTATCTTTGCGTGTGTGTGTGTGTGTGTGTGTGTGTGAGAGAGCATTTAGATTCGACCCTAGCACATTTTAATGATGCAATACTGTGTGACCAACTATAGTCTCCTTGTGTCACATGAGGTGCTTAGAACTCAGGCATCTGCAGTTGAAACCTTGTATCCTTCTACCAAGCTCTCCCTACTTCCCCCACTTCCCAGCCCCTACTACTTTTCTAGTCTATGAGTTTGACCTAAAAAAAAAACAACAAAAAAAAAACCAAAAAAACAACAAAAAAAAACACATGTAAGTGATACCATGCAGTATTTGTCTTTCTTTCTTTGACTTATTTGACTTGCAGAATGCTTTCAAGATCCACCCATGTTGTCACAAATGGCGAGATTTCCTTCATTCTCATGATTGAACACTATTGCTCTCTGTGTGTATAAATCCATGTACATAAATGTACATGTCCGTATTACATCTTCTTTGTTCATCTGTGGGTGGACATATAGGTTCTTTCCGTATTTTGCCTATTGTGAATAATGCTGCATCGAACTGGGAGTACAGATTAGCTCTTCGATATCCTGTTTTCTTTTCCTTTGGATGTAAACCCAGGAATGGGAGCACTGGCTCATTAATTCTGTTTTAAATTAAAAAAAAAAAATCTCTACTGTTTTCCATAGTGGCTGTACCAGTTTACATTCCTACCAACAGAATCAATCTATCTATCATCTATCTATCTGTCTATCATCTACCAAACTCTTGATTTGGGCTCAGGTCACAATTCCCTTGTTTTCCTCCATATTACTGCGCATATGTGTTACCTTTTGTCTTTTTGATTATGGCCATTCTAACAGGTGTGAAGCGATAACTCATTGTGGTTTAGCTTTATATTTCCATGATGATTAATGATGTCGAGTCCCTTTTCCTGTACCTGCTCATCATTTGTGTGTCTTCTTGGGAAAAATGTCTATTCAGGTCCCTTGCCCATTTATAAATTAGATTATAGGTATTGTTTTTGTTTTGCTATTGAAGTGTATGAGTTCTTTATATATTTTGGATATTAGCCTCTTATCAAAATAAAGGTTTTGCAAATATTGCTTCCATTCTGTAGGTTGCCTTTTCATTTTATTGGTGGTTTGGTTTGCTGTGCAGAAGTTTCTAGTTTAACATAGCCCAGCCCACTTTTTCTGCTTTTGTCACCTTTTCTGCTTTTAGGGTCAAATCCCCCCAAAAATCATTGCCAGAATTAATGTGTAGGAGCTTACCACTTATGTTTTTTTCTTGGAGTTTTTTGGTTTCAGGTCTTACATCCAAGTCTTTCTGCCTCAGCTTGTACCTCTAGGCCAGTTCCATGGCTGTCATGTTGAGACATTGCTTCCTGCTCCTGGTTCTGATCTGATGTTTTCTGAATCCCAGGTCTTCATTTTTTGGCTTATCCCCTTGTTTTGCTGGAGTACATCTTTAACTAAAATATGTGCAGAAGGCAAACTTCTGAGTCCTTGCTTGTCTTCAGTTTTTTTTAGTCTTCCTTCACATTTAGTTGAGAGTTTGGCTGAGTACCGAATTTTAGATTGTAAATTTTTCCCACTCAGATTTCTACAGATGTTAATTCCATACCTTCCAATATCTAATTAGTTTGCAGGAGATTTGTTTTCCTCCATTCTTAACTTTCACAGTCATGTTTGTAGATATGAGATCTTTTCCTTTGTTCTTATTATTAGTTCCTAAGTCTTCTTGATGTTAAAACAGGTCTTAAGCTCTGGGAATTCTCCAAAAATGGAAGGAAATTTCCTTCCTTCTTTGCCTCCATTGTCTCTCTCTAACACTCCTATTAAATATTGAATCCTCTGTGTTCATTCTACATGTTTCTCTGTGTTCTCCTTTATGGGAGACTTTATTGCCTGTCAGCCATTCTGCTTCAGTGCATGATTTGACAACTGTTTTGAATTTCCAAGAGCTTCTTTTTATTTCTAGACATCCCTTTTCCATAGCATCCTGTTGTAGATGCAACCTCTATTCTAAGGATGGTAATTAGAACTTTAATTTTAAAACAGATTGCCACAGGGGTGCCTGAGTGGCTCAGCCGAGTAAGTGTCCCACTCTTGATTTGGGCTCAGATCATGATCTTGGGGTCATGAGATCGAGCCCCGCATTGGGCTCCGTGCTGTGTATGGAGCCTGCTTGGGATTCTTTCTCTCCCTCTGCTCCCTCCCACTTGTGCTCTTTCTCTAAACAAACAAACAAACAAACAAACAAAAAAACCCAAAACTGTTTTAAAAAGTTCGCCACAGTCTCTTCAATGCTGCGAGCTTCTCTCTAATGTTTGTTGTTCCTTGGTTGTCTGTTCATACTTGGGATGAGTCAGATGAATGATCAGGAGCTGGGTGTATGTGACCGAGTTCTGTTGGCCGAGGGGCTTCTCTTTGAGCTGAGTGGTCAGGAAATTAACCACTACCCTGTAGCTTTCTGAGTTCTAAATTGGGTTGTATTTCTCTAATTACCAACATCCACACTGATTGCTCTTTCTTCCCTGGCAGACATATTGACTTTCTTTAGAGAAGAACCAATTTATCTATCTTTCTATCTGTTTATCTATCTGTCTATTTATCATCTATCTATTTTTATCACCTCTCTAACCTATTTATTTTGACCTTGGGGTAAACACTTTCTTCAGTTTCTGGCAAAAGAGGGAAAGGCAGGGGCCCTTGGGTGACTCAGTCAGTTAAGCATCCAACCCTGGGTTTCAGCTTAGGTCGTGATCTCAGAGTTGTGGGATCAAGCCCCAAGGGGCACTGGCTTCTGCACTCAAGAGGGAGTCTGCTTGAAAGATTCTCTTCCTCTCTCACTCCCCTACTTGTGCTCTCCCTTTCTCTATCCCTCTATCTAGTGGAAAAAATATATATATATTTTAAATAAATATATATAAAATATATATAATATTAAAAATATATTTATATTATATATAATTATTATATATAATATTATAATATATAATATAATATATCAATATATATTAACGTATATAATATAATATATAATATTATATATTAATATATAATATATATTTTAATATATATTAAAATACATATTTTAATATAATATATAATATATATAATATATAATGTAAATATATATATATTTTTAATTTTTTTTTTTTTAAAAGAGGGGAAGGCAGACAGCTGTGGTTGGCTCTTCCTTATACAGGTCTTCAACCAATTTCCCTATGTCCAGATCCAGTTCTCACTCCCCATCTCTGTTGTATATGCTGCATCTCAGTCAAGATCCCCTTTGGGTTCTGTCAAGCAAGTTAAGTCCCTTCAATGTAGAAGCACTGTCCCTCTTTATTTATACATTAGGTGGTTACTTTTTGCTCTGGTTCATCCATTGGTCAGTGCTTTTCCATCTGTGTTCCATTCTCTAGAAATGTCCTGAACTCTTTTCTGCCCTGATGGCCTCCCCTCATTACTGTTTATTTTGGAAGGCTTATACTTTTAAAAATGATTGCTTTAATTAAAGTGGGTTCTCACAAAAAGGGAAGAGATACTTCAATTCCTGCAGGTCTCCCATTCTAAAGCATTTTTTTTAAAAGATTTTATTTATTTATTTGACAGACAGAGATCACAAGTAGATGGAGAGGCAGCAGAGAGAGAGAGAGGGAAGCAGGCTCCCCGCTGAGCAGAGAGTCCCAACGTGGGACTCGATCCCAGGACCCTGAGATCATGACCTGAGCCGAAGGCAGCGGCTTAACCCACTGAGCCACCCAGGCGCCCAGGTCTCCCATTCTGAAATGAAATTCTATTTTATATAATTAAGCTCCCACATACACTGTGTTTAGTGCAAAAACATTTATGCCTGTTACACCTACCTTTACATTCTACCTAATAGAAAAATAAATGGCCTCTTTTGTCCCCGTTAAGGCTTGTCTGCCTTGAATTTAACTTTGCTACTAATATTTCAGTTTTCATTTTCTTTTTGTTAAGTGCTATGCTTTTTAAATCTTTAGAATTTCATTTAATATGTATATAATAATGGGTACAGTTTTTCTAACCCCTTCCTCCCTCATCCAGAGTTTCATTTACTATTATATCTTCAGAGTTTTCACACGAAGATAAAAACAATATCTGATTAAGATGAAATATGGTTTCTAGGAAATAACCGGGGAAGGTTCAGTAATAATATTCACAGGAAAGAGTGAACCCAACCAATCTGGAGGAAGAGTCCAGTATTAATAATAGAGAACACTTAACATATCACCCATCCCAGGGCTATTTTAATTATAGAGTGTTAATTGCTTGAGAATTTAAAGGATAAATGTTAACAAGGCTTTGGAAAGGAGAAGAGAATAGATTGGTTCTGAAATTAAGTAGTTGTTTTACCTTGGACAGATTGCTTAGTAAGCTTCTCTCGTGTGCTAAGCACTTTGCTGGGTGCATGGGATACAACAAGCAATATATGAGCCAGACCCTGAACATGCTCTAAATGGATAGACGTATAATCAAGTCATTTAGCACAGGGTCCTAACTACATTGTATTCCAGGTGGAGTGATGGTACAAATAAGGTAGTGATTAAATTTCCTTAAATAGGCCCAGAAATGGCTTAGCATAATTGTGCCTCTAAATTTCTATCTTGATTGCGAAGATTCTTGTAATTTCTGATATCTAGTTCTATGATGCTCTACCTGAAGAAATAGCACCTTACTTCCTTAAAACAATGGCTTTTGTGCACCTGAATGAATTCACAGGTGGTACCCAAATGTATAACTCAGGACCCAACCAGAAGACGGAGCGACAGAGTAGTTGGAATAAAGGAAGTTTAACTTAAGGACTTAGTATCTATAATAGAGGATTAGAGTAATGGGGGAACTGACCTGGAAGAAGTAAAGAGAACTTAAAAGAATTCAGAAATCAGATAAAAGGGGCATCATTACATCTAGGAGTGGGATGGAACATTCCCTCTCCCTTCAGGCCTGAGATACAGACTTTGCTGCAGTGAGTGTCATTACTTGGCTCAGGGGATACTGCAGGAGTCCCTGAGATGCTGTGCTTGTGGGTCTTGCTGGAGATGGACCCTCTGAGACGCCGGAGCCATCCACAGGGACGTGCTATGCCCTGCAATTCACTGCAAGGCCAGTTGAGGGGGTGCTGGGAAAGCAACTGGCCACTGAGGGCTGCTGGCTGCCCCCATAGGCTGTGGGAAGCCGGTGCTGAAGAAGCCATTCGTTATAGGAACGGTTCCTTGTAGAGCTGGATATGCAGAAGGCATGAGCCACAGGTGTCCAAACTGGAGAAATCAGGAGCTGTAGGAGCCTGGCAGAAGGAGCTTAGCACACCACGAAGAGAAAAATACCTCTTTTAATCCACTGTCCCCCCATCTCCCTCCACTGACAAAGCTTAGCGTTATACCAACTAGCAAAGAAGAAATATTCGAAAGGACCATATCCGTGTCTATGGAACGGACAGTGAAGAGTGGATTTAGAGTTTAGAGGCAAACACACTGATAATTAACACAATAGGATAAATGTTTGTGACTTTTTCTGAAATGGATCATCTCTTTGAAAACTCACCTCATATTTCTAGGTTCATCCCTTATGTTCTACAGATGGTCTGTGGTTTACTTTCTCTGATGGGATTTTTGTTTTTGTTTTCTATTTCTAGGATCCTATATTTGTCTTTCCTGGGTTAGCTAGTCCGTCTTCTCACTGAACCCTCCGTGGTAACTCTGCTTGTCATTGTCTTTCTCTGGCTCTTCCCCTTTTGTTAAATTTTTAGCCTTAGTCTTCTCAACATTCCGAGGAGTGCAGGACTTCTCATGGGTAGGAGTTGGAATGAGTTTGTAGCCCTTCAGGATTGATTTTAATATCCTAGAGGTATTATATAGAATGGAACACATTCCAAGTGCAGTGTCTGATGTTGAAGACAGATGTCAGACAGCCTTACTTCCTGTAACCAGGGTACTGTATACTTCCTTGTGGTTGGATTGCAGATTTTTTTGGCTGTACAAACTTGCTACTTCTTGGTTTCAAGGAAGTTGAACAGGTGATGTGGTCTAGTATGGAGTCACCTGTGTGTTAAAAGTTACCTTGTGACATAGGATATTTCAGTGGTGGCGAGATTGAAGTGGAAAATAAACAACAGCAACTTGATTAAAAGGAACTTCCTTTAACAAATATAAGGTCCAAGCCATTGGTGTCTTAGAAGAGGGAAGATAGCAGCAAACATACTGAAAGAACCATCTTAACCAAGGAACAATTCAACAGTGATCAATAACTAATAACAAGAGCACATTCTGGAAACAACCCAACTGAGGCTGGTAAAAGAAGGTCCAGAACTGTAGACTTGAGCCCAGACCTCCTCCTTGTCATTTCCTCCAGTGCTTGTGCAATACTTTGCTAATATGTATGAATCTGCTAAGAGTAGGGATATTGGAAGAGCTTTCAGTAGTGATGCATAATCTGATGAATTAATGCTTGCCACTATTAATCATCGTGACGATAGTAATAGTGGGCAGTACTTGAAAGTCCGCTGTGTGTCGGGTGCATTGGCATTATCATTAAAACTACATTTACTACCACTTAACAAGGTATAGATTATAATCAACAGTTATGAGAACTTCAGGTCTTGTACTATCATCAGATAACTTGATACGGTAAATGTAGGGCCAAGTTTTGAACATAGGTATCAGCTCTGTGAAGGCAGGAATCATTGCTGTCTTGTTCACTTGATACCCCTAGTGCCTTGAAAGTGTCTTTCGCATGATAGCTGTACAGTAAATATTTGTGGAGTGAATGAATAATTCCCACATCTGAATGCTTTCCACTGTCTTCTCTTTATTGTTTTACTCTAAGGTTATCTAGGAATTTGGGCCAAAGTCCTCTCAGTTCTGTACAGCAGATATTCCATGGGTTTCTGAGAATGGGAACATATTAGAAGGTAGTAATCTTTGGCTGGTGACCTGGAGGTCCTTGTAGGAACAGGCAATCCACAATGACTGGCATAAATTAGAAGTAATGATAGACCTTCAGGGGTAAACCTTCATTTAGTAAATGGTTTTGTCCTTCTGTTTAATACATTCGATACAGGCATCTTTAATTTAGGAAGTATAATCTAGGAAGTACAGAGCCCAGGGGAACCCCTGGGAGGTCCTCAGGAAGTCTGTCAATAACAAAATTGTATGCAAAATTGTGTATGTATTTATCTGAAAGGAGGGTTCTATGACTTTGCGGGGGACTGTGACACTAGAAAGAGAAACAGTGTTCAATGGGAACATTTATCATTTAAATTCTGGGGAGTAGGCATTCGTATATCATGTCGGAATTAGAAAGAGGCATTCTTTTTGTTGTTTTTTAGTAGAAGGAGAAATTTTGTTTTCTCCTACAAATAATGGATTTAAGAGGGTTTTTAGGTATAATTGACATTCCTGAGCTTCAGGCTGAGGCATATTTCCTATTGAAAAGTCCAAGTCACTCATTATGTCCAAGCCCAGAAGAGAATATTAATTAATTTCCAACATATTTTGTGGCAGGATGAAAATAAGTTGGTCTCTTTTTCTGACCACCCAAGCTGCCAGCTACCCTGAATGCTTTTTCTTGTTCCTTCATGTTTTGGGTCCAAGCTAGCTAAAAACAGGGCCTTTTAGAGGTTTTCTTGAAATAAGGTGGTGAGCATTTACCTGTCCCTAAACAAAACCCACAGACCTGCTTGCCTGATTTTGGCAATCAAAGCCGCATGGCCGCTAGCAAGTTTGTCTCCGCTTTGATCTGTGATGTGTATGACACTATATTTTTTGGCTGCTCTAAAGCAGACTGCCAATTAGATCCAAATGTGTCAGACGGCCTCAGAGAAGGTACTAGTGGCCAAGTTTCCATTAGTGGTTCCTACTGATTGATGCCTGCAGCATTCTGTTCATTTAGAAATAGAAACCTATTCTCATCTTTAATCTTGGGGCTGGGAGTTGAAGTAATGGGGAGGAGAAAGTCCCAGAACACAATTCAATCTCTTTGTATCTCGCAGCTTTTAACTGTTGTTTCTCTTTTAACACAGTTAAGACTCAAAACAATAGGAGGCTGTGATTCTCTTATTCAGAGGAGATATGCTTTTTATTTCCTCATGTGTAGAAGGATGACGGGAAGAGGGAGCAAAGCCACGTTTATTGAAAACAGTGCTGTGCCTACAACTGTGTTGGATGCTTTCAGGTGTGACCTCATTTGATTCTCTAAAAACTCGAAGAAATAGGAATTAGCATTCTGCATACTGTTGAGCAATGCGCAGTTCAGAGAAGAGAAAAAAAAACATTCTTCTGTGTTGTATCCATTGTAAGAGGCAAACCAGATTCTCCTTGGTAGCTGTTGGGTTCAACAGCCTGTGCTGTTTCCACTCCCCTGTACAATAATGTGAGTGATTTCGGCGCCAATCCCTCTAGCACCTGAAAAGAGCTTTGGGCAAGTCTCGAGTGCACAATGGAAACTGGGATAGTTAGGCTAGAAGCTAGCTTGTGAGTCACCATAGACCATTTAGAGGAA